CCCCCAAACAAACCCCAAAACCAAACCAAAATATTCACCTCTGCAGCATCTGTGGTCAATTTCCCCTCTGCAGCATCTGTGGTCAATTTCCCCTCTGCAGCATCTCTGGTCAGTTTCACCTCTGCAGTATCTCTTGTAGATTTCACCCTTCCCCCAAAACAAAAACAACAAAACCAAACCATTCACCTCTGTTGCATCTCTGGTCAGTTTCACCCCTTGCAGCAACATGCCCCCTTCTCCTCTGACTCTGCACTGGTGCAGGCCCTCATCACCTCACCTGGACTATTGTAGTAGCTACTGGGGGGTCTGCCTCTCTCAGGTCTCTCTCCACTCCACTATATCCTCTATTGAGCCAACACAGTGATTTTCCTGAAGTGTAGGTCCAACTGTGTCATCCCCCCTACTCAGCAAACTCCAGTGGCTCCTTATTGCCTCCAGGGTCAAGTACCAAATACTCTGGTCTTCAAAACACTTCACAACCCAATTTCCTCCTCCGTTTCCAGTCTTCTTACACCCTACTCCTCAACATGTATTCTTCAGTCTAGTGGCACTGGCCTCCTGGCTGTCCTACCGAGACCCTCCATCTCTTGGCTCCAGGAATTCTCTCTGGCCGTCCCTCCTGCCTGGAATGCTCTCCCTCCTCTATTCTGAATAATGACTTCCTTGACTTCCTTGAAGTCCCAACTAAAACTGCACCTTTTATAGCAAGCCTTCCCAGCCCCTCTTAATTGCTGTGCCCGCCCTCTATTGTTTCCTGTCTATCCTGTATATAGCTTGTTTATGTGGATTTGTTTGCTTGATGGTGAGTTCCTCGAAGTCAGGGTTTGCTCTTTCTGTAGCGTCAGTGCTTGGCACAGTGCCTGGCACATAGTAGGTGCTTAATCAATGTTTACTGACTGATTGCTCAAGAGTAAAGAGTTAAGGGGGGCATGTTGGCTGGGGTTTTCTTGGAGGGAGCTTGGTCTGACTGATTCTTATTAAGCAGGAAGTTGGGAGATATGTGCTCCCTCAAGGTGCCATCACTGCCATGGAACACAGCTCCTATTTGCTGCTGACATTGTGCTGGCTCCATTAAGCCTGAATAGAGTTTCCTGAGAAGAGCATCTCTCCAGAGTTTGGCCCCAGAATCCACACAAGAAAATCTAAGTGAGTCCAGACCACAAGCGGTAGTTGGAGGGTCAGCCCAGAGAGCCTTTTGATCTGTGTGTGCGTCTTGGATAGAGAGCTCTGATGGCCAGTGAGCCAGGCTCCGAACTGACTAGGAGAAGGGGGCCAGCCAGATCATGCTGGGGAGATGGAGTAGCCATCTCAACAGCTCTGAGCTTCTCCGTAACAGAAGCCCAGCTGACCGTTAATCAAATGTTTTCCAGTTATGTGCTGTGGTAGTAAACCCTGGGGTGCTTTCAGGATGCCCCAAAGATTCCAACTTGGGGATCCCTCAAAGGGTGATGGAGAGGTGGCAGGTACAAACAGGCCGAGCATATTATCAGCAGAGAATGGCTCAAAGGACGCAGCATCAGCGAGATCATGGTCGACAAGATTCCAGCACCCGCTGTGTGTGTGCCCCCCGCTAGGACCAGTCCCTGCTCATGAGGAGTGGTCTTTCACATGGAGCTATTGGCGCTTGATTCTTGGCCCTCCCTGTCAGGTGGTTTGCAGTGGTGGGCGCTGCTCCCACCCTTCACAGCCTCCTCCAGGCAGGCTCCCCCCCGCCGGCATTTTCAGTCACCTTGTCTTCCTCTGAATGGACAGTAGACTCCCTGAAGTCAGAGGCTGCTGTAGTTTTCTCTGCCTATGAAGCTCCAGGGGCTGGTTATGTGCTCATTGAGTTGATGTGCTGTTTGGACACTTCCGGGACATCCAGGTGGATCTCTCTGGAGACACTTGTAAGTGGGGAGGTTCATCTCAAGGGAAGGCTTGGGCTTCAGGACTCAGCTGTAGAAAGGTGATAATTGAAGTCATAGGAACAGAGAATAAAGGCTAATGAGGACCGACAGGTGGAGTGAGGGCTCACGCTTGAGGAGCGCCTTACCTCTATAAGTCACAGAGAGACATATGGACGGAGTGAGTGTTCATACTTGAGGAGCGCCTTACCGCTATAGCTCATTTCCTCACATCCACCATGGGAGATTGGGGAGATACTTGGTAGTCAGTCTGTCCATCCATATTTCTTAAGTGCCTACTATGCTCCAGGCACTGCACTCCTAGTACTCGGGCACTTATTTGGTTAAAGAATTTTTATCTGTCCCTCCTGAGGATACCAGCCACGATGTTTTGATTTTACTCCATAAAGAGATGTTTTATTTGCCAGGCAGAACTGGCGCGGTTTTTCCAGTCAGTAATGGCGAGATTTTGAGGTGCCTTCTGCTCCCTCTCTTTGTGGGTCAGAATTGGAAAGGCTGGAAAGCCTTTCACGGAATTCTGGAGAGATGCAGCTTTCACTTTCTTGGCCCATCTTCCACATGGTCTTGGGGTTTTCACTTGCACCAGGAGTGCCTGTTGCCATGGTGAGCTCTCGATTCAGTTGGTTTTGAACGCTGTTTTCTTTGGCAGGTGTCCCAGTTGTGTGTGTAGGGGGAGGGGAGGGGGGCAGTCTCTCACTTTTTGTTTGTTTCTCTGTAATGCAAGTTTTATGGTTGTTCAATCCGTGACAAGGCCTTGGCCACATCTTGAGGAGCTTTCCAGGGGCTTTGAGATTGGTCTGATTTTTCCTGAGCAGGTGTGAGGTGCCTCTGTGCCCTGGGCATCCCTAAGGCAGAGGTCACTGTAGGCCTAGGGGAAGCCTTTGAACACGAGCTTCCACAGATACCACACTGAGAAGAGCAGGAGCTCATTTGACTCATTCTTGTAAGTAGATGGCACACCTTTCCTCCCCCTCCCTTCATTGTGATTTCTTTTGGGAAATAAAATACCGTCTATAATAGAAACGCAAATAGCATTTCCTTTTGTTTGAAGTCACACATCTTTAGTCTTTCTTCTTTTGCTGAAGGAAGTCCTTGGCTCTTTTCCCTCAAGAGACAGAGACCAGACCCCTGATCTTTCCTCTGCTCTCCCCTATGCCTGGGGCATTTTCGCCACCCATTCAGCCCCAGAGGACAGGTGCTGGCAGCTGGCCCTGGTTTTAGCGCCTTTCAGCTTGTTCCCTCACAAGTGAATGTTGAAAAGATCGCCAGACTGTCCTGAGGTTCCTCCACTGTGGTCCTCTGGGGAGCTCTGAGGCAGGCGGTGCACTGATGGAAGGCACAGCTTCCTCCTCCCTGTTAGAGCTCTCAGGGTCCTGAGATTTAAATCTGTAAGTCAACCAAACAGCAGCCAAGCAGAAGAGGATGGGTGGGCGGGCACCGACTGCTGAAGGAAAGCAGCACACAGGAGGCTGTCAGTCAGAAGGGAAGCCCGCCATGGTCCTCTCGGCGTGATCCAGCCTCATCACCGTGAGGAAGATTCCGAGGCTCCATTGGAGGGTCTGGACTGTGTGTCATCACCCAACCCTTGCGGGTTTGACTTGGAGGAGAGCCATCCACTGACCTGTGTGAAAGCTGGAAGGAGCCAAGTTTGTCCTGCAGCCACCCTCTCTGAGAAATGCCGTGGTGAGATGGGCTGAGAGTGACTCTCTGAGTCTGGAAGACCCGGCGTCCAGCCCACCCTTGGGCACACATTGGTGGTAGGAATCTGGGCAAGTCCTTTAACTTGTCAGGGCCCCACCCCAGTGAAATCCCAGGTCTGGACAGAAAAGCTTCCAGGAACCATCCTGCCTAGTGCCGCTAAGGACCCAAACAAGGACCTTCAGAGAGACTCCACCACTGAGTAAACCTAGGGCAGCTAGGGGGCGCCCTGGGGCATAGAGTGTGGGCCTGCAGTCCGGCCCTACTAGTTTGTTTGCCTCAGTCTCCTCACCTGGAAAATGAGCTGGAGAAGAAAATGGAAAAAACCCTCCAATGTCTGCCAAGTGAATGCCAGATGGGGTCACGGAGAGTTGGACACGACACGAACCTCGATGAGAGCTGGGGCAGGAGGGAACCCAGGGCTCCCTGTTGGAGCATGGCTCCGGCTCTGGCTGTGGTTCTGGCTGCAGCTCCGGTTCTGCCTGTGGCTGCGACTCCAGCTCTGGCTGTGGTTCTGGCTGCGGCTGCAGTTCTGACTCTGGCTGCCGCTGTGGTTCTGGCCGTGGCTGCAGCTCCATTGGTTAGCACCGAAGGATGGCAGGCAGCTTGAAGGGCCCCATCTTCAAGGCATTTTGTTTTCCCTTCCTTCTCTGCTTTGAGGCAGAGGTGAGTGATCGGGCTGTGCTGAGAGGAAAGAGGAAGCTTCGCAGGACTTAATTCTAATTAATCCCTGCTAGGCGTCCTAGGGACCTGTGGCTCCAGTGAGAGTTGGCTCCTCACTGGACACCTGAGCTTTACTTGGTGTTCCCCTGGCCTGGACGGGTGCTGCTGCTTTTTTCATGGCTGAATCTCTGGGTCTGCTTGTGGAATGGAGGGAGGGAGAGACAGAAAGAGAGAGAGAGAGAGAGAGAGAGAGAGAGAGAGAGAGAGAGAGAGAGAGGAGACATGAGAGAAAGGGAGGGAGGGAAGAGGAGAGAGGCAGAGAGAGGAGGGAGGGGGAGAGGAGAGGGAGGGAGGGTGGAAGGGGGAAAAGGAGGGAGGGTGGAGGGAGAGGAAAGAGGGAGAGAGGGAGGGAGGGAGAAGAGAGAAGGGAAGGGGAGAGGAGAGAGAGGGAGAAAATAGAGAGAGGAGGGGAAGGGGAGAGAGGGGAGGGAGAAAAGGAAAGGGAAGGGAAGGGAAGAAGGGAGAAGACACATGCTTCCTGAGGGACCCCTCCCCATCCCTCACCCCTTGTATGTGTATTTTTCTGCACTTACATATGTATGTTTTCCCCCTTGACAAAAGGTCGGCCCTTGGCTGGCCAGCAGGCAGGGGCTGTTTCTTTTCTGTGTTTGTGGGAGGTGCTGAGTGAGTGTTTAGACCTGGGCTGCCCTCCAGGGGCCTGGTGGGCGTGGTGGGCAGCTGTTTGCCCTCTCTTTGGCAGACTCTTTGTTTGATGCCTAGCTTGATGTGGTTGCAGAGTTGGGACGATCAAATCGTGATCAAACCTCAGGCTTGATGGGGCGTTGTTGGCTCTGGGAAAACCGAAGAGGTTTTCTTTCTTTTTTTTCAAGAGTGCCGTCTTCGTGGCCCAGAAGCCCCTGGAGAGCAAGGACTTTGTCGGTTAGGTGTCAGTAAATGTCAGTTTTTAGGGGATGCTCGAGAAATCTGGACTTTGAACACTTAGGAAAAGTGCCTCAAGCTTCAGGGAGAACCAGAGGCAGTTGCGGTCACTGGGGACCTCGGTGGACCTGCCAGAGCCAGACGGATCCAACCCGAAGGACCCAATGATCCACATTGCTCTGCGGGCCCCAGCATTCCCTGTTGGAACCCTGTTTCCTGGCCCCGCCCTAGTGGTGGCTCTCTGTCCCGGCTAGACTCGGCCTTTGAGAGACTTGATGCCTCTGCCCTGGACCTCTGCCCCTTCCGCTGTGGCTCGTGTTAGGACCCATGGTGGACTGTGGGAGAGCCTGAGGGCCTGACTTGCCTCTCAAGTGGAGAGGACATGCTCTTCACAGCTTCTGGTGGGTTTTGGGGGGATTTTTATGTCACGTACATTTCCCACTTATCTCCCTTCTTGTCCCAGAAAGCCATCACTTAGGAAGGAAGAAAGCTCAGTAAAATCTTCGACATTTTGAAAAAGTCCGACCTCATGTAGTGTTCTAGACCCAGTGTCCCCGTCTCTGCGGAGAAGGTGGGCTGTGTTCTCATAGCTCCTGGAGGAAGAGCATGGATTGGTAAAATCATAGCCCTCTTCCCATCTCCCTCTGGGGAATAGTCAGACAGTATGGCATCTGCAAATGGTTCAGCGATGTGGAGCTCCCACTTAGGCATAGATGGTGTTGTGTGCACACACACATGCACACTCACACCCATGCACATTCCCCCATGTGCGCACACACACAGTCCAGTGTGCCTCTGTCCTGTCTGCATGTGCCTACATCATGGGAGGGTGGGAGCAGTTTGACTGGTATGCACGCACACACACGCACACACACGCACACACACACACACACACATAAAGTCCAGCACGTCTCTGCCCTGGCTCCAAGCACCTGCATCCCGGGAGGGCGTGAGCAGTCTGGCACATGCACGTGCACACGCGCACACACATAGAGTCCAGAACATCTCTGCCCTAGCTCCAAGCACCTACGTCCCTGGAGGGCGTGAGCGGGCTATGGTGGTCCGTCCGGGCCTTGGCCCAGGCCCGGGGGACGTGGTGCGCGGGCCCTCACCGGTCTCTCCCCCGCAGGCGACAAGGCGCTCGATGGCTACAGCAAGAAGAAGTACGTGTGCAAGTTGCTCTTCATCTTCCTCCTGGGCCACGACATCGACTTTGGCCACATGGAAGCCGTGAACCTGCTGAGCTCCAATCGCTACACGGAGAAGCAGATTGTGAGTGTTTCCGCCGTGAACGCAGTCAAGGTCGGATAGCCAGGGCAGAGCCGGGCCCAGGTCCCTGAGCGCCAGCCTGCGCCGAGAGAAGGGGTTGGTGCGTTGTGGAGGGCCCTGGACCGTGTGTGCCCGTCGTGGGTCAGCAGTGCGAGCTGTGAAAAGGAGCGGGGCTGATGAGCCTGGTCGCTGACCACCCTCCATCTGGGGGACACACTGGAGCCAGTTTAGTCACCCGGCAGGAACTTGTTCAGCTCCGTCTGTGCCAAAGGCCCCAGTCCTACGAGAAATGGTCCCAGCCTGTAGGGTGGTTTGGGAGAGGTCAGGAAGGCTTCTTGCAGAAGGGGAGGAGGGAGGGCGTCTCAGGTGGGGGAGATGGTCAGAGGCCAAGGCATGGAGGCAGGAGATGAGAAGTGCCATCATGGCTGGAGGAAAGGTTGTATCCAGTGAGTCCAGAGAGGCTGGGGCCAGGTTGGTGAGGGCTTAGGAAGCCAAGTGGAAGAGTTTCTCTTGGAACCTGAAGTCAGTCGGAGCCATTGGGGTGGAGCGGGAAGTGACATGGTCAGAAGTGTGGAGGATGGCCTGGAGGGCGCTGGGGAGCGGGTGGAGACCAGACCGAGACGGGGAAAGTGAGGCTCTAAGCCACACAACGGGAAGAAGGCGAGTGCCATGGATGGAAATGGAAAAGTGTAGAGGAGGGACGGGGTTTGGGGAGGGGGACTGGACTGCATGCTCTTTAGGGCGTGTCTAGAACGTCGTGTTTGAGGTGACACCTGGGGGTGCCACGGGGTCTGGAGTCAGGGATACCTGAGTTCAAAGCCAGCCTTAATACTGACTAGCTGTAGGACCCTGGACAAGGCACTTGCCCTCTGCCTTGGTTTCCATATCTGTAAAATAGGGATAGTAACACCTGCCCCTCCCCCCCCCACCCAGGGTTGTTGTGAGGATCAAAGGAGATCTTCTTGGTAAAGTGCTGTGCAGACCCCAGGTCAGTGTGTTAGATGCGTGTGTCGCTCTCTCAAAATCTGTGACTTGTCTGTTTGGATGTGGTGGCCAAACCTGAGAGAGAGAGAGAGAGAGTGTAGACGGGGAGGGGAGGGCCCAGAATAGGCTTGGTGGCGGAGAACCATGATTGGAATGATGATGACTTATTAAACATCTGCTGTTTGTGAGGCACTGCGCTAAACACTTTACAAAGACTGTCTCATTCGATGGTCACAACCACTCTGGGAGGAGGGTGCTCCCCTTTTTATCCCCGTTTTACAGATGAAGAAGCCCAGGTAAACAGAGGTCAAGTGGCTGGCCCAGGGTCACACAGGCTTCCTGCTGTGCTCCCCCACGGTCTTGGTGCGTGTGGCAGCTTTCGCACTCTGGGTGTCTTTGTGGTCCTTGGCCACTCGGTGGCAGGTTGGCCGTGCCCTGGTGGCCCTGGCCTGCTCGGGGCAGCCGCTGTGACCTCTGAGAATGTCCTGTCGTGGGGGGTGGGCCAGAGCTTGTAGTCCCTTTGCTTTGATCCCTGGCTGTTCGCTGCTGCCATCTCACTCTCTTTTCCCTGGGACACAGGGCTACCTTTTCATCTCTGTCCTAGTGAACTCCAACAGTGAGCTGATCCGCTTGATCAATAATGCTATCAAGAATGACCTGGCAAGCCGGAACCCCACCTTCATGGGGCTGGCTCTGCACTGCATCGCCAATGTGGGCAGCCGGGAGATGGCCGAAGCCTTTGCTGGAGAAATCCCCAAGATCCTGGTGGCCGGGTAGGTACCGTCCTGGAGCGCTTGGCCGAGGAGGGTGGGAGCCCTTTACCTGATGCACGCGGGAAGCTGGAGTCTTCGCCTGGGTGCCCCACCGTGGGAGCGTGTCATAAGGCTCGACCAAGGTGGGGCAGTGGGGAAAAGCAGAAAAGCCTGAGATGGTCCAAAGAGACGTTCCCCATCTCTGCCAGGCAGAGAGCCGTCCCAAGTCCCAGAGGTCTGAGTGTGCATGGAACCTCGACGCCTGTGCTGTGAGAGACGGCAGGGCCGGAGCTCCAGAGGGCGGCCAGCCTGCCTGCCTGGACTCTGGAGCGTCATGGTTACTTTGTGGCCTGATCCCTTAGGCTCCCGTGTCGGGGAGGGTGAGGCAGTTTTAGGATGCGACACAGGATGGGTGCGGATCCGAGATGGTGGAGTGGCGTCGACAAGTCCAGGGAGCTCCCCCCAGAATTCCCTCAGGCAGGTCTAGAAAATGCTCCAGACTGAATCAGGATCAAGAAATGCAAGAAAAAACCACGAGTGACTTTGTCAGCCCAGGTTCTGTGGGAGAGACAGAGAGGGCTCTAGAGCCTGGCGAAGGAGCATGACTAGATCCTTGGGGACCAAACAGCATTCCCATGCCTCGGTAAGGAGGTGTCTTAACTCTGTTGTAAGGTATAGGAGCAGGAGCCACCCGGCCCTCTGCACCCCACTCCTCACAAACCCAGGGCAGACGGAGGAGGGGACCTGTGCCCATGGACAGTTTAGGTTGTAGGTTAAGGAGGGGTCACCATCTCCAGGTGGTGTGCAGAGATAGGAGCAGGTTCAGAAGCAGCAGCAGCTGGGGGCTCAGACCCAGGAGCAGGGCAAGAATCCCAGACCGGCAGAGCCTCCCTGCTGGCTCACGGGGGCTCAGGCCAGCAGCATCTGCCGTTGCTCAGACCTGGACCAGGCGGGGATCGGAGATCGACTTCTGCCCCACATCAGGCCACTCTGGGAGCACTGAAAACTCTCAAGCCCCCAGTCTGAGCGGTCTCTGAGATAGTGGAATAGCACAGCACTCGCCACTCCAAGGAAGTCACAGCAGAAGCAGCCCAGACCCTTCCTTCAGAAGTGCGCCGAGCTCAGCCCTCACAGAATGTCTTCCTGCATCAGAAAGTAGACTGGAAGAAGGAGCAGACAAAAGAACCCCGTCATCAAAGAGCTGTCATGGTGACAGGGACGCTCAAGATGAAAATGCAGAAGAAGAGAACGGCTCCAAAATGTCCACAAGCAGAGCCTCAAAGAAAACTCAGCTTGGGCACAGACTCAACTAGAATTCCTGGAGAAGAAGAAGCAAGACTTTAAAAAAAGTGAAAACTTTTTATAAATGGAAGGAGAGCAGGAGAGGAAAAAAAGGGAAAAGCAATGGGAGCCAAGGAAGAAAGAATTGGAAAGGGAATTAACAGCTTGGCACCAGAGGAACAAATCTTTGCCCAAGCAGCAAACTCTCTGGAAATAAAAGAGGACCGAAGAGAAGCCAGTGACTCCATGACACACACACACACAAAAATATTAAAACAAAGTCAAAAGACTGAAAAAAAAAGAAGGAAAATCCAAGGTATCTCATAGGAAAAACTACTGACCTTGAAAACAAGTGAGGAGAAAAAAATTTAAGAATTGTTGAACTGCTTGAAAACTGTGACCGAAAAAAAGAGCCTGGACGTCAGATTTTAAGAACTCTTTTTAAAAAAATTTTTTTAAAAATTATTTATTTTTAGTTTTCAACATTCACTTCCACAAGATATCTATCTATATATCTATATATATACATGCATATAATTTTTTTCTCTCCAACTACCCTAATACTGACAAAGGACTCATGAGTTACAAGTGTCATCTTTCCATGTAGAATGTAAATAGTTCAACCTTATTAAGTCTCTTGTGATTTCTCTTTCCTGTTTACCTCTTCATGTTTCTTTTGAGTCTTGTATCTGAAAGTCACATTTTCTATTCACCTCTGGTCTTTTCATCAAGAATGTGTGAAAGTCCTCTATTTCACTAAATGTCTATTTTTTCCCCTCAAGGATTATATTCAGTTTTTCTGGGTGGGTGATTCTTGGTTGTATCTCCTTTGCCCTCCAGAATATTCTATTCCAAGCCCTCCAGTCCCTTAATGTAGAAGCTGCTAAATCTTGTGTTATCCTGATTGTGTTTCCACAATATTTGAATTGTTTCTTTCTGGTTGCTTGCAATATTTTCTCCTTGACCTGGGAACTCTGGAATTTGACTACAATATTCCTAGGAGTTTTCCTTTGGGGATCTCTTTCAGGAGGTGATTGGTGGATTCTTTCAATTTCTATTTTGCCCTCTGGTTCTAAATTATCAGGGAAGTTTTCCTTGATAATTTCTTGAGAGTGATGTCTAGGCTGTTTTTCTGATCATGGCTTTCAGATAGTCCAATAATTTTAAAATTCTCTCTCCTGGATCTATTTTTCCGGTCAGTTGTTTTTCCAATGAGAAATTTCACATTGTTTTTTAATTTTTTCATTCTTTTGAATTTGTTTTACAGTGTCTTGATTTTTCATAAAGTTACTAGCCTCTAATTGCTCCATTCTAATTTTTAAGGAAGTATTTTCTTCAGTAAGCTTTTGTACTTCCTTTTCCATTTGACCAATTTTGCTTTTTAGGGCATTCTTCTCCTCATTGGCTTTTTGGACCTCTTTTGCCATTTGAGTTAGGCTATTTTTTAAGGTGTTATTTTCTTCAGTATTTTTTTGGGTCTCCTTTAGCATCACTCTCAGTTTTTCCTCTACTTCTCTTACTTGCTTCTCAAAATCCTTTTTGAGCTCTTCTGTGGCCTGGGCCCAATTCATATTTTTCTTGGAGGCTTTGGATGTAGGAGCTTTGGCTTTGTTGTCTTCTTCTGGTTGTGTGTTTTGATCTTTGTCATCAAAGTAAGATAATATAGTTTGACTCTTTTTGCGCTGCTTGCTTATGATCCCAGCCAATTACTTGAGTTATAAACTCTTTGTTAAGGTAGGGGTCTGTTTCCAGTGTGGAGAAGGTACTGTCCCAAGCTTCAGGGGTTTTGTGTAGCTATTTTCAGAGATACTTCTAGGGACCTGAAAATTTTCAGTTTTTCCAAGGTGCTATGATCAAGGGCAAGGTGTTTACTGCTTTTCTGGCCTGTGCTCTGGTCTATGAGTGACCACAAGTACTCTTTTCTGTCTTGGAACTGTGAGGATTTCCTCTCCACAGCCACTACAAGCTGCACTACGCCGGCTTTTTTCCTCGCCTCAGGACCGCCACCCAGAACTGTGACCCAGATCCAAGCACGGGGAAAGCAAGAGAATCCTGCACCAGCAGAGAGATCCTTGCAATCACCCTCTGATCAACCACCCGATTCCCCCTCAGTCTGTGGGCCAGAAGCTCAGGAGGCAGCCGCCACCCCAGGGCCAAGCTCAGGGACTGGGGCTGGAACCCCACCGTGCTTCTGTCTCTCACCGCAGACACAGACTTTTCCCACTGACCTTCCAAGTTGTCTTTGGCATTCAGGGGTTGAAAAGTCAGGAAACCGCCACAGCTGCCAGTGATTCAGTCCCCTGAGGCCTACTCCAGGTTTGCTGTGGCCTGTGCGCCCACGCCGAACTGCACTTCTCTCCCAACCCGGTGCGATATACCTTTCCGATCAACTATCCAGGTTGTCTTGGGCTGTAAATTTGTTTCACTCTGTCTTTTTGTGGGTTCTGCTGCTTTAGAATTGGTTTAGAGCCATTTTTTACAGGTACTTGGAGGGGTTTGGGAGAGAGCTCAAGCAAGTCACTGCTTTTACTCCGCTCTCTTAAGAACTCTTAAAAGAAACTGCCCAGATCTCTTAGAACCAGGAGGATGAAGTGGGAAGAATCCACTGGTCAGCTCCTGAATGAAACCCTGAAATGAAAACTGCCAGCACATCATAGCTGACACCCAAAGCTTCCATGTTAAAGAAAAAACAGTGCAAGTGGCCAGGGAACCGCCCCAAAGGCAGTCCCAAGGAGCCTTAGCAGCTACCACTTCTAAGGGGTGGAGAGCTTGGAACACAGATTCCAAAGAATATGAGCTTGTAGCCAAGAACAGCTTAGCCAGCAAAACAGCATGATCCCGTGGGGGAGGGGATGGATTTTTAATGAAGTAGAGGACTTTGAAGCATTCCTGATGGAAAGGCCAGAGCTGTGGAGAAACTTTGAAGGTTGGACCCAGGAGATATGAGAAAGATGAATGAACAGTGATGGAAGACCAGGCAAAGACCAGCCACTGTCATTCTAGTTTTGGAGGTGAGACAACCCCCTCTGAACTCTGTCGTCATCTATGGGCATAAAGGGAGCGAAATTCGCCTGAAGGCCTGGCAGTTTTTCTGTCACATCTTGATGATCTTAGGAGAAGAGTGGAGAAAGATGAGAAAGGGAATGCACTGAAGGGGGGAAGGGGAAAGAAAGGTCAGGAAAGATTGCCTCCCGTTGTCAGACTGCGCAAGCAAAAGGTGTGCCCAAGAAGGAGGAAGGCTGACCGTGACCTGGGGAAAGGTGAGAAGACACACGCAGACACACCTAGTCAAGCATGGGGCTGCGCTTCACTCAGCAGAGGCATAGGAAGGGAAAGGCAGAAGGAAGAATCAGTGTGAGGGAGGGAATTCTAAGGGAAAAAGCCAAGGATGTACAGCAACATTTCTGGCTCTTTTGGAGCAAGTGGAAAAATGGGCATCTGAGGGGTGTCCGCGGTGGGGGAGGGTGATGGAATCCTGTTCTCGTCCCGTGGGAAATGTGGACGAGCAGGGTTCCGAGAAGCCCAGGAAGACTGTGAACAGAAGCAGGAGAATGATCTGTGCATTGGCAGCAGTAGGGTAAAGACAAGCCGATCAGTGGAGGGGCCAACTGTAACTCCAGAGGGCCAGGGCGGCGCCTGCCGCCTGCTGCCTGCCACCCGCTGTCTGATAGAGAGCTGTGGGCGCGCGCTCACAGCCAACGCGACTGTTTGGTTTACCTGACTACTCGTGTTTGTAGCTAGAGCTTCGTTTCTTTCATTACTGCGTTAGGGTGTGGCGGGAGGGAGGGAAGGTGAAGTTTTGCTCCTTGAAAGACATCCAGAAAGGATACTGTGTGTCCGGCAGGAGTCAGTGGCCTCCCAGGTGTGTACGGCGTTCCTGGAGAGGCTGCAGTCTTGGGCTAAAAGGAGGAGGTTGTGGGGCTCGCTAAGGCCTCCCTGGCATGGTGTTTCACATCCTCCTGGGTCTCGACAAATTTCTGTAGTGGCTGCACATCCTTGACTCTCAGTGCTGTCATTGGAGCCATTTATTCAGCATCCAGCTGTGGAGCAGGCGCAGCTGTTCCCCGTAGTCTGGTCCGGACAGATGCTCGCTTGTGAAGGGCACTGTCCTGGGCACGACAGTAAATGGTGGGGCACCTGCAGCAGAGTAGACTGGAGGAGCACGAGAGCATTGGCAAAGACTTAAGATCTTCTTGGTCTCAGCCTCAGGCCTGTAGGCTTGGGTCGGTCCTGCCGTGTGCCTGGCACCGTGTGTCAGGATCTAGGCAGAGTGCAGGCAGTGGGGGGCTAGCCCTGAACAGCGCTGGTCTCTGAGGGACAGCCTCCATTCTCCTCCTCCAGGGAGAGGAAAGGCTGAATGGCGGAGCCGAGCCGCCTTGCCTCACCTCAGCATTCCCGCCCCCCGGCTCCAGAGTCATCACTCTGGGGAGCTTCCCAACTGCTAGGCTTGAAAACGCTTGGGAGGCGAAGCAAAGTGGAGGCCCAGGTCCCGGCGCTGAGCTCCAGCCGACCTTGCCGAGGGCCTCGGCGTGGCGCGCCTGGTCCTCTCTCCAGAGTGCCGGCCTCAGTCCTCCTTGTGTGGTGGACATCTTTGGAGGGTGCTCGGTTGTCTGAGGGGCTGGCTTCCTTTTTCTCGCTCCTGCCCTTCCTCCTCCAGAGCAGCGCCTCTCGTCCTTTCCTCTGCTCCGGGCTCTGGCCAGGCCCGGGGCATTGCGTTCTTCCTAATGGGTAGGTCTGTTGGTCTTTCAGAGATACCATGGACAGCGTCAAGCAGAGCGCGGCCTTGTGTCTGCTACGCTTGTACAGGACGTCCCCGGACCTCGTGCCGATGGGTGATTGGACCTCCCGGGTGGTGCATCTCCTCAATGACCAGCACTTGGTGAGTGTCTTGGGCGGGGGCAGATGGAAGCCAAGGCCCTTTGGCAGATGAGCGGTGGGCAGGCTTTTTCAGCATTGCTCCCGTTCTGTTCTGTGCTCCTTGTGTGGTCCTGAGAGAGGGTGTGGGGCAGTAACCCGGGCATAAACAATGTGAAAACAATCAGAAAAGTGTCTGCCAGGAGCCCCCCCCCACGCTGGAGGAGGGGGGCAGGGATGGAGCAACGTTAGATCGGCGTTTGTTCAAAACCTTTGATGAAGTGTTTATCTTTCCAGTTAGGGATTCATTGGGAGGCTTCATCTCTCAATAGAATCCAATGAGGAAATGAGAAAAATGATTATTAATAACCAATGATTTGGGGAGATGCAGAGTTCCCCCCTTTTCTAAAGTCCTCATTTTGAAAGTTCAGTCCCTGGAGGCCATTGCTGATAATGAGATTAGATTAACTTCTTTTTTTTAAATTTTTTTTTTTTTTGCTTTTTGGTGAGGCAGTGGGGGTTAAGTGACTTGTCCAGGGTCACACAGCTAGTAAGTGTCAAGTGTCTGGGGCCAGATTTGCACTCAGGTCCTCCTGACTCCAAGGCCAGAGCTCTATCCACTTCACTACCTAGCTGCTTCTGGCTTAACTTTCTTAACCATCTTGTTCAGACCCCACCTTGGTGGGGAAGCCACTGTGCTCTGGTCAGGTTTGAGTGGGGATAAATTGTCTGAATAGATTGCCTGAGGCTTGGGGCAACTTAGAAGTAAATGACATAATCAAAGTTCATTAGAATAGGTCCAGCACCTCATCAGAATATTCATGCTCTCATTAATTGTTAACCAATCAGGGTTGATTGTCACCTCAGGAACATCCCCTTCTGAGGCCATATGAACTATGAGCCCACTGCCTTGATTGTCTTTGGCGTTTGAGAGGGCCACTGACCTCTTTTGATTAAAATACTGGCGTTGTTAATAAAATGACTGTCCAGAAATTCTGTCTTGTGAACTTTTTAAATGTTCCAGCTGGAGGAACAATGGGTACACTAATGCATTATCGCTGGAGCTGTAAACTAGTCCAGCTGTTCTGGAAAGCAGTTTGGAACTATGCCCCAGAGATAGCAAAGAAAGAAGGAAAGGACCCGCATGTACCAAAATGTTGTAGTGGCAGAGAATCGGGAAGTGAGGGGATGCTCAACAGCTGGGACCTGGCAGAATGCACTGTGGTCTGTGGGTGTGATGGAAGACTGCTATGCTGTGAGACGTGGTGGAGGGGATGGTACGAAGTGCGGGCAGTGGAACCAGGAGCACAGTATTGTAAAGAGGATCAACTTGGAAAGACTTGATGTGCGCGTCCATGCAGTGACTGACCACAGCTCCAGAGGGCTCATGAGGAGACATACTGCCCACCTCCACACAGAGAACTGGTGCGCTCACAGGGCAGACTGGAGCCCATTGTCTTCTTTTCCTTTTTTTGGACGTACTGATTCTGGAATTTACATTGCGTGTGAGTTTTGTTTTTCCTGCATTCTCACTAGGTGGGGGAGAGGGAGAGGAAAATGAGAGAATTCAGAACTGAAAATAAAATGGAATTTATTTAAAGCAAAAAAAAGAAAAGGGAAGAAAGGAACAATTTTAGTCTCTTCATTCACCTTGAAGACCATAACCGTCCAGTGAACTGTGCAGCTCAGGACACTTTTGACCCAGCAGATAAAATTTATCTGGAAAAAACTTACAATGGGAGGATGAGTTGGTGAGCATCAGTGGAAGGAAGGAAGGAGACTGGCCTTATGGCAGCTCCCGAGAGAAAGTCCCTTTTCCTCTACACGTGTGTAAGGTGACCTTGGTGCAGTCCTGTGGAGCTGGACCCCACCTCTGCTGCTTCCACCCTGGTAACCTTGAGTGAATCCCTTGACCTCTCCATCTTTAAAATGAAGCAAGTGGACTCTTAGCCTTAGTGGTCTGTAGACTCACAAGGCAACGTGGTATTTCAGGGCATGTTTGTTTTTCCTCACCCCTAACTGAGATTTAGAGTTGCTTTTGATGACTTGGAATTCTCCTTCTGACCCTGGGGTTCCCAAGGCTTCCCCAGCATACCAGCTGCCTGTGACCTTCTAATGTAGGTGTCCTCTGCGAACCTCTCCAGCTCTGACTTTGTCTGACCTGCTGTCCATTGTCTTTGGAGCTTTTAGAGTCTTCTGCCCAGACGGGGTCCCTGCTTTACCTTCCTCCTGGCTTTTGTCTGGCGCTGGTTGAGTTCAGTGGAAGCCTGTCCTTGCTGTCTGAGGAGCTGTCTTTATTCTTATTTATTTATTTATTTATTTATTTATTCTTTCATTCATTCATTCATTCATTCATTGTGAGGCAATTGGGGTTAAGTGACTTGCCCAAGGTCACACAGCTAGTACGTGTCAAGTGTTTGGTCTGAGGCTGGATTTGAACTCAGGTCCTCCTGATTTCAGGGCCGGTGCTCTATCCACTGTGCCACCTAGCTGCCCCCCTTTATTTATTTTTTTACAGAGCCAGTATTGTTTCTTTTTTTTTTTAATAATTTATTTTGATTTACCAACAATCACTTCCATAAGCTTTTGAGTTTTAAATTTTTCTCCCCTTCCCTCTTTCCCCCCTCCTTCCCCAGGACGGCACACAATCTGATGTAGGCTCTACATATACATTCCTATTAAACATATTTTCACATTAGTGATGTTGTAAGTAAGAATTAGAAAGAACCACAAGAAAGAAGAAACAAAACAAAACAGAAGAAAAAAAATAGCAAACAGTATGCTTTGATCTGCATTCAGACTCCATAGTTCTTTCTCTGAATGTGGATAGCATTTTCTATCACGAGGCCTTTGGAGATGCCTTAGGTCCTTATATTGCTGAGAAGAGATAAGTCTAACGTTGGTCGTCGCACGACGTGGCTGTCACTGTGTACAATGTTCTCCTGGTTCTGCTCACTTCACTCAGCATCAGTCCATACAAGTCTCTCGGGTTTTTCTGAAGTCTGCCTGCTTGTCATTTTTTATAGCACAATAGCGTTCCATTACATTCCTATCCCACAGCTTGCTCAGCCACTCCCCAGCTGATGGACGTCCCCTCAGTTTCCATTTGTTGGCCACCACAAAGAGCTGCTGTCAGGACTTTTGTACGTGTGGGTCCTTTCCCATGATCCCTTATAGTCTCTTCAGCATGAGGAGCTGTCGTGATGTGGGGCCCTGCCACTCTCATTCCTCTTTCCACATAACAGGTTTCACAAAAGTGTCTCTTGTCACGGGCCCCTGTAAAGAGCTTAGAGGGAAGTTTGTGTGCAGTCACCATCCTTCCTAACCCCCTTGGGGGTTTTCTTGGCAAAAGCATTGGAATGGCTTGCCATTTCCTTCTCCAGCCCATTTTATAGATGAGGAAACTGAGGCAAATGGTGAAATGACTTGCCCAGGACCACCCAGCTGTTGAGTGTCTGAGGCCAGATTTGAACTCAGGATGAGTCTTCCTGACTTCAGGCCTGGCTTTCTATTCACTTTGGCGGCACCTCGCTGCCCAAGAGGGAGGGCCTCGGTTCTCCTTTGGAAAAGCAGAGATTACACACTTCTTGTCTTTGGGTGATGGCTGCAGGGTGGGTCTTCTCTCTTGTGCCCTGGCCTCTTGGTGGGCAGTACAGCATCATGGAGTGGAGTAGGTGTGTGCTTCCTGGATTTGGTAGAGGGCCACCTCGCTCTTTCGCTCCCCCAGTGGAAATGAGGGGCACCTCAGGCAGCTCGATGCTGGCAGAGGGAGAGACGGAGCCAGCCCAGTGGCACCCTGGGGACGGGGAAGGAGGCAGGAACCTGGAAGAGCCCACTTTGCCACCAGGGAGAGAGAATGGTCTCCTGCTTGCTACCGTTTGATTTCACACTTACCGGGGGTTTTCCTCTGTGTCCGAGGGCTGCAACTCAAGACAATTCCGATGAGAACATAAAAGCAATATTTCATTTAATTCTCTAGGCACTTATTGAGCACCTGCTGTTTTGCAAGCACTGTGCCAAACCCTGGTGCTCAAAAGACAAAAATGAGACTGTTGGTTTTGCTTTCTGTAATTGGCACCAAGGTGGAAATTTCATTTGGAAAGTGGGATTTAAAGCCAAAGTCGGTGGTTTAAAATGCTTGGTTACAAGCACTGGAAACTCAGTACATGTCTCACTCTCTTCTTTCAGGGTGTGGTAACTGCCGCTACCAGCCTGATCACCACACTAGCGCAGAAGAACCCAGAAGAGTTCAAGACCTCTGTTTCCTTAGCGGTTTCCAGATTAAGCAGAGTAAGGCCCTCGTCCTGTTCCTCTCTCCTCTTCTTCCCCCTCTCTTGAATGAAGAAGCATTAATTAAGCACATCCCAGGCTAAACCCCAAGGATACGGGGGCTGAAGTGGGGCCACCCTGACCATGAGGGATGCAGGATAGTAATATTAAGGAATGGCAGCAGATGGAGGGCTCAGGTCTTTTTGTCAGAGGAGTCTGGGGGGATGGGGAGAGGAGTCGGAGAGCAGTTGATCGACCTATGGCCTTTCTTGGAATGGTCGTTAGTTATTTTGGATACATGAGGAGAAGAGTGGCGGGGGTCCCCAGGAGCAGGAGATGGAGGTCACCAGCACGGGTGCTGGAGAGCCTGGGGAGGGATGACAGAAAGGGAGCGTGCGTTGTGCTCGAGGGGGTGACCTCTGAGGGTCACTATCATGCCTGTGGTTCTTTAGCCCAGCAGGGGTGGATCCGGGATGGGTCAGGGTCCTCGGACTTGGGAGTTCTGGTTGTGTGTCCCTTTGAGGAGTGACAGAGTCCTCTGTGCTGTGTAGCCACCAGCTGGCATACGGCTGTTTCTCTTTCATTCCTGAGAAGAAGCTGGTACAGTGGACGGAGGACTAGCATTGGGGTCTGCTTGGGTGACCCAGGGCAGGTCAGGGTCACCTCCCTCTTGGTTCTCCAGGCCACTTGAAGACTGGAAGACATTAGTCTGTGTTAGTGAAGGGAGTTTCCCCACCAGGCATCCCAGGGCCCCAGACCATGTTTTCTTAGCCACATACGCTTGGAAAAGAATCCGCTTTTGTTTTTCTGCAGGACATATGTCTGTTGGTCCTGGTTCCTTTATCTGTGTCCTCTCTCTGACACTCACCCTTAATGCCAGAGAAAGGATCGAGTCTAGGCCAGTGCCTGAGATTGACCTTGTTTCCCTTCCTAGACCTTTGGGTAGGAGTGGGAGAGAGACCCTTCATGTGGAGGTGCCTTTGACTACCCTGTCCCTTCTGAGGGAGTCCTGATCATGGGGGGGACTGGTGGAAGGCTGTCTCCTAGGGACCAGAGCTAGAATTGTCAGTGAAGTGGCCTGCTGCAGCTCAGGGAGCCTGGAGGCCGGCCCCATGGGACTTTGGTGCCAGGATGACCAAGTTTAATTGAAAAGGAGTTGCTGATGGGGGTGGGGGTGGGAGTGAGAGGAAGCATCTTTGCCTAGTTCACCTGGGACACCACCTCCACAGCAACCTAGAAAATGCACCAGACTAAATCCTGATTGGGGAAGGCCAAAAAAAAAGTCACAGCAAGTCCTTTTCCATCTCAGAGCAGCTTAGGAGGAGAGGTCTGTGGATGCTGGGGCAGGGGCTGGCCATGGGGGCAGGGGCAGCAACAGGGAGCATTCTAGCCCTAAGGGGACTGAGTCTGAACACTGAGGAGGCAGCAAGAGATCCCAGGGGACCCCTGACCTACCTCTGGGAGCAGGGATGGTGCCATCTGGTAGCTCTATCACCCATTACTTCGGACTAGGGCAGAGAGGAGCAGTCAAGGCTACAAGTGAGAGAGGCCTGAGCTGTGTACTGAGCAAGGAACGAGTTCCAAACCCTCAGCGTGTGGCTTTGATCCTCTGCGCAGAGCGGGGAACTCAGATCTAGTCTTTAGCCCAATGCCTAAGCTTACAGTGGAATAACCCAGGGCAGAGTTCAAGATCAAAGGGGAGTCAAGCAAGCTGTTTAGTCACTCTGAACCTGCAGAGCCTGCCGAGGGCTCACAGTGACCAAGTCCAGCAGCAGTCTGTGAAAGCTCAGCCATGCACTAGCCAGCGGACCACACGGGGTCAGGAACTTGCAGAGCTCGGACTGGGAGGGCAGTGAACAGACTTCTCCCCAGATCATACCATGCTGGGGACACCAAGAACGTGCAGACTGCCAGTCAGAGCTGTGAACACAGCAGGAGGACAAAAAGAACAGAAGCTCGGGCTCGAGATCCCTCCAGGAGTGAGCAGAGCCCAACTCTGACGTCCAATTCAATGTCAGGAAGGAGGCTGGAAGAATGAGCAAATAAAGAAAGAGCCTGACCATACAGAGCTACTTCAGTGACAGGGAAGCTCAAGACACAAACTCAGAAGAAGATAGTATCTTGAATATATTGTCAAGCAAAGCCTCAAAGAAAAATGCAGATTGGACATAAGCCCAACAGGAAATCCTAGAAGAGCCAGAGAAAGAGATTAAAACCAAATAAGAGTGATAGAGGGAAAAAATGGGAACAGAAATGAGCGCTGTGCAAGAAAGTTGTTATAAGAGAATTAGCAGCTTGGTAAAAGAGGTACAAAGCCACTGAAGAAAATAACTCCTTAAAAATTAGGATTGACCAAATAGAAACTAATGGCTTCTTGAGATATCAAGAAATAATAAAAGTCAAAAAACTGGAAAGAAAAAATAGAAGGAAATGTGAGATATATCATAGGTAAAATAGTTGACCTGGAAAAGAGATGAAGGAAAGAACATTTCAGAATCATTGGATCACCTGAAAGCCATAAACCAAAAATGAACTTGGACATCCTGTTTCAAGAAATAATAAAGGAAAATTGTCCAGATATTTTAGAACCAGAGAACAGAGTAGAAATTGGAAGAATTTACTGGTTACCTCCTGATAAAAACTCCCAGGAACATTATAGCCAAAATCCAGAGCTCCTGGGTGAAGGAGATGATGATACAAACAGCCAGAAAGAAGGAATTTAAGTACTGTGGAGCCATGGTCAGGATCACACAAGATTAAGCAGCCAGCATTTTTTAGGAATAGAGGGCTTGGGGTATATATTCCAGAAAGCAAAGGATCTAAGCTCACGAGGAAGAGTAACCTGCTGAACAAAAATGAGTATAATCCTACAGGGGCAAAACCAGATCTTTAATTAGAGGACTTCCAGGCATTCCTGATGAAAGGATGGAGTG